ACTGCTCCCTCTGGTACGAATGGTTCCGTCAAAGACAGGGCACTCACGAAACGAGGTGCCTTGCTGTCGACTCCGCTCACGCTAATGAGAGCGGACACTTCATCGCATATTAGATGCAAACCTCTCTCTTGACAAAACTCTATCAGCTCGAGTAATGTCTCTCGCGGGTAGCATCTCGAGAGTGGGTTGTTTGGGTTACAAAGCAAGACAGCCTTGATGCGGGACTTCTTGTCTGAGAAGTCATATGCCGCCTGGAGAGAAGGGAGAAGGTAGTTGTCCCAATGTGCGTACGTTGGTGGCCTAGCGGCAATGACGTCGACCTTTGCTTTCCGCTTCAGGACAATCTCGAATCCTGCTGCATGTTTTTAGTCTTGGCTATCTACCATGTTGCGAAGGAGCGCGGAAGGAATGTTTGACGAGCAGCAAGGTGACTTACGCCAATGCGGACCAGGAACAAGAACACTGTCTCCATCGTCGCAAACAGCGTGGATCACGTTCTCAATAGCATCAGTCGCGCCTGCTGTAAGAACGATATGCTCAGGCCTCACGGCATGAATCGGATTGAAGTAAGTATTGAAGAATGAAGCTAGTGCATCGCGCAGCCGTGGATCGCCGCCGTTGAGCGATGCAGCAGGAGCCGCGAACGCCTATTGAGGTACGATTAGCGGGCTACACGACATGTCTCAGACACGAGTAACAAACCTCACTCGTGATTTTATCTTCAACAGTGCCTTTGAAGAACTCGAGCAGCTCTGGATGCAGGACCTCGTTTACAGCGCGCGAGAGATCGATAGTCGTGGAGAAAGGGTCGAAAGGTTGTTGCGGTGGGGCGCTTGCCGAAAAGGCTGGGAGAAGGTCCTTGAGCGTCTTCTGCGTGCGCAACGACAGTCCAGGATCCATAATGGACGAAACGGAAATATGGCGCGTACGGCGCATTCAGTCAGTGGAGTAACTACAGAGACACTGAATGCGACCCTGCAGTGCCGCGATATGCAAAAAGGTCGCATTCAGTCGGTCCTGCGCCTAGGGGGCATCCTGCGGCACAGTTGAATTCCCAATGGTTTGGTACCTGGCGCTGACGGCCTGCTGCATATGGACTCTTCCGGCCAAAGCTCCTAAAAGGGATATTGAAGAGAAGAACATAACTCCATTGACGGTGCTAATGTTCTATTGTGAAGGAACAAAGCGTGTGGGGAATCTCGTAAGGAAAAACGACGTCTGTCTCGACGCTCCCTCTGCACCAAGATAACTACAGAAGCCCAAGAGCCCGCCTTTTGTGTGCCTCCCAATCTACCCTAATCCCCATGCCTAGCCCATCACTATCACACAAGCACATACCAAAGCTAACCAAACGCCTTTGAAAATGCCTACGGATAAATGCATACAGAGCGCATGCAGGGTCTAAAACAAGCGACGAGCCGCGAGGCCCTATAAACGCCCCCGATTAAGTTTGCATGGGCCTGGATGAACATTGGAAAAAGTGCAGCAATTGAACCGTGCAGCTCAACACGACTGCTACGCCTACAAGAAATAGAAGTCGTTGGGTCGAGTGGCTGAGATCATTGCTGTGGCCGTCCAATACCTTGTTTAGCCTGGAGAGGTGTTAGCAGTGTCATTTAAGGGGGGGTTGGAAGAACTGACCTTCATCATTTCGATCCTTTGCTTCAGATTTTGCGTGACCTCTGCAGCGCGCTTCCAGCTTTCCGCACCTGAAGCTCCCGCTGAAGGTACTCGAGGAGCAGGTCCGTTCTCTGCCGGGCTCATACGGCCACGCGACGACATCGATGACAGACCATCTGCGCGCGGACTCAGCTTGCCACTCATATTGCTGCTAGGGCGAGATAGAGAATCAAAGTTCTCCTTACCATCGCCGCCTGGACTTCCAGGTCCGCTAGCAAAGCTTCTCTGCCTTGGGTGCATGGCTCGACTGCCGTATCCAGAGTCACCGAACATCGCGCCATTGGTGCTGCTAAGGTTGGCATGGTTATCGCTATAGATCTGGTCTCCAACGTCTGTCGCTGGTGGAGACGCGGAGCGCAACTGCCGACTCAGTTCGCGCTTCAACCTATCAATTTCGCGACGCTGGTTCTGTACTGTCTGCTCAGATGCTTCGAAATCTGAGCGTGCACGGACGAGCTGTGTCTCCTTTGCCTTGATCGAAAGCACATCGCGAGTGTGATCTTCGATGAGCTGAGCGTTCTGGTTCTGGAGCTCGTGAATTTGTGAAGTAAGCTTCGTTCGCTCGCCGCGCAGATCTTCGTTCTGTCGTCGTACTCGTTCAACCTCTGCTCGAAGCTCGTCAAGTTCTGCACGTTCCACCAAGTTGAGGCCGCTGGGTGCTTGTGGTGGTGGAGCCGCAGCAACAGGTTCAGCAGCAGGCTTTCCCAGAGGACGGCCTGCGAGACCACGACCGGCACCGAACTTGGGCTGTGGCAGCGGCGCTTCTTCTTCAGGAGGAGGCGAAACAACGGATTTTCGTGGCGAAGGAGCTGTGAGACCTGAGCCTGGCTTCTTCAATCCACCAAGCCTCGACGGCCCAGTCAGACCAGGTTTGGCACCCAGCTTGGAAACAGCGGGCCTTGAAGTCGGCTTCGGTTCGAGAGGTGCAGCAGGCTCTTCCACGGGCGGAGGCGGAGGTGCTTTCGCGGCAGGAGCTGGCTTCTTTACACCACCCGGGGCTGGTCGCTTGCCCATGGGCTTCTTCGTAGGTGGTGCGGCTGCCGCAGGCTTGGGTGCGGGCGCAGTCTTTGGCTTGTATTTAGTCTTGACTTCCGCAGCATCGAAAAACTCTTTGATTTTGGTTTTGCGGATCTCATCAAGTCCATCCAGATGGGCGTTCATGATGCGGTCTCCCATGATCTTCCAAAGGGTACCGAGCGTCTCAGCACCAGCAGCTCGCTGCACCTCCTGCGATTCGGTAAGTAGTTTCGTAGAGCCTTCGGCAATGGCCTTGGCTTGTTCTGGTGTCGGAGCTTCGCGAGTGTTCTTCAAGCATCGAATCAAGAATCGTGATGATTCAAGTTTGACCTGCGGATTCTTGTGCTTCAAAAACTCCAGAATCTCCTCTAAACATTCCTGGAAGGTTGTAGATGCGAAACAGGCATCCAAAGCAGCTCCGATTGCATCAGTCACGGTCTGTTTCTTCTCTTTCAGGCGCTCCATCATGGCGTTCATAACATCTTTGCGGTACTTGGCGAAGCTCTTCTTCAGTCCCTTGGCCAGCAGCTCAACACAGTTCGCGGCTGCAATAACACAGGCAATATTGGCATCCTTCATACTCTTCGCAAAACCGCGAATCAGTTCGTCAAACGGTCCTTCCGCTATCCTGGGGTGGTCGAGGGCCTTTTGCGTCTCATCGAGGGCTTCCTTTCGGTCTTTCCATTTCGAAGATGCCAGTTTCTCCGAGAAATCTTTGGGGATCTTTGCAAACACGTCAACGGCTTCGTACTCGGGCTCGAGATCAATGGCAGCCTCTTCTTCGTCTTCCTCCTCTTCGCCGCCGGGTGCAGCGACTGCAGCCTCCTTTGCAGCCTGTTGTGATCGTAGTAGGCGCTCTTGCTTCGGCGCGGGCTCGTCCTTGACCTTCTCAAACAACTTGTCGAGATCCTGCTGTTGGACGGGCTTCAGATCGTTCCAGAAGAGTGGTTTCATGGCCTCCTTTAGCCATCGGTAGAGTTCGACTGTCAATTCCTGCGCCTTGGCGCGAACGTTCTTATCCGCATGACCATAGGCTTTGGGAAGCACTTTGAGGACAGGCTTAGGCTCGATAGTTTTGCAGCCGTAGGCATGATATATCTGCGTGAGGGCGTCCAAGGTTGCGGCAATGACCTTGGGCTGCTTGTTTCCTAGCACTGGTAGGAGCTCTTCGATAACTGGGTCTGGCTTATCGGTTTCGATGTACAACATCAGCGCTTCGAGCGCCTTTTGCTTCGCTGCCGGTCGTGTTGACGGTAGGCCCTTTTCGGCGATCGTCGCAATGGTGTTACCCCGTGTCCTAAACAAAAATCAGCAATGCGCCTTGTAGAACTATGTGAAATAGTTACCGTGTGCAGCCCTGCTGTCCTGCTATGTCAAGGAAGGCGCATAGTGCGCCGAGACCTTCTTGTTGTGCTGCGACGTTGGAGTCACCCACGACACCTTTCCATATGCTCGCATCGTTTATGAACTGGCGCACAACGGGGTCTGATTCGCTAGCAGCAAGACTGAATTCTTTGGCAGCGGCCTCGTAACCTTCTTTCCGCACCTTCCAGTTCTTGTGGACGAAGCGATCGGGGAGCGGGAGCGAACTGAAATCTTCTTCTCCGTCTGCCATGGCTTGTTACGGGATATGACGAGTGTAATGCGGGGTTGTGTAAGAGCGCAGAAAAGCTGCAAAACAGTGAGTCGCGAGTGTTGTGGGATATACAGGACCCTGCAGCAGAGAGGCGCAAAGTACCCAAACAGTGTGTAGAGACACAGTGATGCGCGCGTGCACTAGTGGGCCTGTTGCGCTCTGCCTGGTGCGCGGAATAGGAGCGGCGGGGACTCACCAGATGATGTCAGTAGATAATGTTTTGGGTTGCTTTTTGCGAGACTGTCGAATCGCAAAGTCTCGGATAGCGATAACAGCGTGGTGTAGTGGCAGCAAGTATGTCTGGGCCTGAAAAGCTGCAAGTATTTGCTGTTGTTGTTCCCACGGGAACAACAACAGCGTCACTCCTGCCCAAGCGGATGATCCCTGCAACCACATGAATGCCCTACATGCAACCTCCGTCGACCACATAGCCCACACGCACACATTATTGCTTCGACACAATCGCTATCCTCCTGCTTCTTGCTCCCTCTCCCAATTCGCGACCAAGATACCCCGCCAGCCGCCCCTGCAGTCCATCCTCCGCTCACCGCAATTCCCCGCGCCCACCAAAAACCTCCTCCGCATCGGCCGCACAAGACTACGCAGCGCCTTGCGATAGTGCATGGTCCAGATTAGTACCAATCGCGTATGAGCTAGCTGTTCCGCCATGAGCGCGATATTAACAGACCGGCAAGCGGAAGAGCTGTGAGCATGGCAGATAGCGACTATCGCGGGAGTCACCACTGACAACGAGCCAGGCACAAGGCCATAATAGCATATCTGGGTGTCATAAACGCGCCAAAGACTGCCGAGGCTTTCCGGGAGGAAGCCAACATAGCCGACAGCTTCGACGATGCTACGCGGAAAAAGTATGAGGGGCTGCTGGAGAAGAAATGGACGAGTGTAGTACGGTTGCAGAAGAAGGTAGCTGTGCGCAAATACCCACACTGAAACACTCTGCTTACACCGTGCAGGTCTTGGAACTCGAGCAGCGCAACCAGAGCCTCCAGAGCGAGCTCGATTCCACCACGCCAACCTCGCTCATCAGAAGGAATCAAGACCCCACTAGCTGGCTGCCGCGAGCTCCAGCACGGCATACTCTCCAATCACATCGCTCGCCTATCACATGCGTCGCGTTCCACCCCGTTTTCTCGTCGCTCGCTTCAGGCTCTGAAGACACTACCATCAAGATTTGGGATTGGGAATTGGGTGAGCTCGAACGAACGGTCAAGGGTCACACGAAAGGCGTGCTGGACGTCGACTTTGGTGGCCCCAGAGGCGGTACACTACTAGCGTCGTGTTCGAGCGACTTGACTATCAAGCTGTGGGACCCCTCAGACGAGTACAAGAACATCAGGACACTTCCCGGACACGACCACTCCGTCTCTGCGATTCGATTCGTACCCAGTGGAGCTGCGGGCTCTCCATCGTCCGGCAACTTACTAGTCTCTGCGTCGCGAGACAAGACTCTACGGATATGGGATGTCACAACAGGATACTGTGTGAAGACGATACGCGGACATGCCGACTGGGTACGAGACGTTGCCCCTAGCTTTGACGGACGATGGCTCCTGTCAGCAGGAAATGACCAGACTGCCAGGTTATGGGACGCTAGCTCAGGGGAGGCCAAGTGCACTTTCCTTGGGCACGAGCATGTCATTGAATGTGTTACAATAGCGCCCCCAGTATCCTATGCCAACCTTGCAGCTCTCGCCGGACTCAAGAAACCGCCACCACTAAGCAGTTCTGCCGAGTACATTGCAACTGGATCAAGAGACAAGACTATAAAGATATGGGATGGACGGGGAACATTGATAAAGACTCTTACTGGCCACGACAATTGGATACGGTCACTCGTCTTCCATCCGGGCGGAAAGTACCTACTATCAGCTAGCGACGACAAGACCATCCGATGCTGGGATCTCACACAAGAAGGCCGATGTGTCAAGACTGTGACTGACGCACACGGACATTTCGTCAGCTGTATGCGATGGGCGCCAAATGTCATCAAGGACGTGCCTGTCAATGGAGACGCGCCCAATGGCGCAGCCAACGGCACTAATAAGAAGAAAGAGGAGGAGGCAGCCAAAGCAGGCATACGATGTGTAATTGCGACAGGTTGCGTTGATTTGAACGTTCGCATCTTTGCATCGTGAGGAGCGACAGCATCCAACGCTTTTGTCCGTATCGTTCAGTACGTGTTCTGCATAGGGAAGGTTGGATGTACAGGCGAAACGGCTTCCATACACGAGGCTCCATGAGTCCTAGTTTTTACGACTTCATGTAAATACCCAAGTTACGCGCCATGATAGTTTCTCACGCGTCATGATAAAGGCGCAAGTAGGAGAGGGGCATGCATATCAGGTTGGCGTCAATATGGGTGGGAAGACCAGTGATAGACCAATAACAGACACGCGATCGATACGACTCGATACACTTTTACCGATTGGCATGATATGACTTGAAGTTCCGTGTCGCATTGCTTGGTAGTAGTCAAGCGCATCAGCGTGCTGCAAACATGTTCGAAGCTGAGGCTCGTGTCTCGATGGAGCACTGCGGGTCCCACTTCGCGTGACGTGAGCTTAGTCACCAACGCGCTAGCGGAGCGGAAAAATTAGCCCCAACCTCCGATAGCTTAACTTTTCTCTCATCGACCTTCAACTTCTCTTCCTACATCATTACTGCTTTACACAGCAGCACAACAATGGCGCATCAACGATACAGCGAGATTCGCTTCAGTGCGCAAAACATCTACTGCTAACCACAAGCACTAATGGCTCTGCTTCCAGCATGAGTTGACTTTGGTAAGTACAAGCGCACCACCCTCACCTCATCCTGCACCTTCATGATGATTCACAAAGCCAAAAACAAATTAGAGTCTTTGACCTTTCGGGGAATGAAACTCCAACTTTTGCACGTCAGTCTGATCGGACTGCTTCCATCACATTTGTCTTCGACTTTTGCGAAAAGAGCATCGAGCTAACTAGCTTCAGAATTTCTTGACAACGCTAAGCGCACATGCGCAGCGCACTCTAGCTACTGTAGCATGCAGTTCTGTCATCGGCGACTTGAATGGTAAGCACGTCCTCGCCTTATTCCCCAACCCTCCAATGATGACCTGTTGTGCTACGGCACGCTGGAAATTACCGACCAAGCCTTCGGGCAGTGCCGATAAAAAATGGCTGTTTCTGATCTCTACTTCACCTTTACTGTTCTCCTCAACGCTGCTTGTAGCTCTCGCTAACATTACGCGTTTTACAGATTTATCAACTGGTACGATTCCTTCTTTTCGAACCCTTCTCGAATACCATATGATGATTCCGCACTGGGCACCGACAATTCTTGACGGATACGCTTATTATGGCAGGCCTCAGAAACCTCGCCGACTGATCTTCTCCGCCACATTCTACGTTCACACAAGCGTTGCTGAGCTTCGGCTAACAACTCAATCAGTCTGTTACTCGCCAACAGCCTGTGAGATGTCACTTGGTAAGCACATTCATTCTCACTACCCAAACCCTGCGAAATGATGAACACTTGATGACGAGTCCGACGGGTTCGCCCGGTGAAGACTTAAAATCAAAAATATCCATTCATGTCAACTGATCCATCGCCAATGCATACCATTTGCTTGCTCTTTCTTGGTAGAAGTCCTTACTAACTTGCTACCTAGACCTATTAGTGTTTGTCACCCTCCAACCGGTACGCTCAGCGCCTTTCTCCTTCTCCGAAATGATGATACGACTTTATCAACGACAAGCATATGTCCAAGCTTCGGCGACGACGAGAACTGTCATGTCTGATCCACACATACATCGCCTTGTTTCATGAAGCCAGGATACAACAGCAACTGATGAGTTGCATAGGATCGTCTACTACTACTGTAAGCGTGATGAAATACTTGGTAAGTCTGCTACCATAACCTTCACTTCCCCTTATAAGATGAACATTCAATTTATCACGACGGTCTACCGAGCTACGGCAATGGTGATAACTGCCTGTGACAGGGCATGAGTCTGATCAGCACCTTCTACTTGCACATAGTCATTACTCTTAGTGTACCAAACGCTAACGACGTGCTCAGACTATAGCCTCACTTCTGTGACCTTCGCGCTGGTGATGCCTCGATGCTCAACATGCGTGTGCCCATTGTGGCAATGCTTCTTACAAAGAGATGTTATTCATTCAATAATGTGTGCCTTCTCCGATGTCCTGGGTCGCCCTCTGCGAAGCCAATGCCTTGTTTCTGCTACGGAGACCATGCATCAGCCACTTGAAGCTCATCATGCCAAACGCCGAACATAGTTCATATCCACCATACAAATAGCTCAATACAATCCAATCGTAATATCTCCACGAATCCTTGCCGTCAGGTGAATCTCTGCCTCCAAATCCAACTTGATACCGAGTAGCAATGCAGCGTCCTTTGGCTTGCCATTGTCATCCACTGGGCCCTTGATGATGTTTCCGGCCGGTCGGTTGAGTGTGGCTGAGGATGGTACGGGCCCAACCTTCGAAGAGACTTTACGGCCACCAGAAGCTTGTCCGTCACTCTCAGTGTCGGAGCCGTAGGCTGTGGGACGAATGGTGGAGTCGCTGATCGAGGTTAGCACATGAATACTCTTCCATGTAGGACCGGCTTACAGGGTAGACATTTTGATAAAAGGTTGAAAACGACGAGGAACTAATATTAGGTATTAGGCAGATGCTTCAGACTGGGCAGGCTCCGGGCCGTTGCTGAGTGTTGTTGGTGGATGGTAGGGATGAGATGCAGGTCGACTGTACTGGCCTTTATCGAGTACCATATCTCTGCCTTATATGTAGAGTCACCACCAAGTACAACGATAGCATAGATCGTTATTCTTCGCCACTAGTCGCTGTCGCGTTAGATCCTCGAAACGACTGTTGTGGCACTTCTGCGTCTCACAGTCACTGCCATCGTCCGAGTCTCGTACCAGCCTCACTGCGGAAGAAGAATCCAGGGTCCAGACAAGATGATCAACCATAGTCGCTTGGACATTGTGGGGATATGCTATGCTTGTTGGCGGGGCGGTTGGGAGGATGAAACACACAGGGGGTGGTGAGGCTCAAGGCGAACGTCTCAGCTTGAACATGGCTGCTCTGTCGGACGAGCATCAGGCCATCGGAATCACGACGCCAAGTCAGTTCTACTAAGCTATGGCAACGCGCATAGAACGAATCGGTTGCAGTCCACAAGCGATGGTAACTCGGGTGGATATCCGTGCTGGTCTATCCACGAATGCACTACCGTAATGCACCACACTCAGGATGGTGCTCTCAATCCTCATCGCTGCCATCGTAGCCCCAGGTTTACTTGGCTCACAAGAAGCTATCCGACAATCGCAATCTAAAGAGAAGAGAGAGGAGCACCGTGCCCGTCGCTGCAACCTCATCGCAACATGCGTCAAGTCATCACATCGCAGCCGAGAGATAGACGGCCGCCAGGTCGTCTTGAGAAATGGAAAGCTTTGGATTGACACAGGCACTGAGGATGGGAGCCCACTAGGCCATCCCTACGCTGGATATTACCTACCTTATCCTGATACTAATCACGAAGGCCTTGTCACAACAATCACAGACGTTGCACCGATCATGAACTGGGTGTACGTCGACAAAGAGACCGGGGAAGTCAAGTACGGTGTTCGCGCAGATGCTCAACCAAATCTCACTGGTCCGTTCGATTGCACGCGACAAGATCGACGACTCACATTCGATGGCTGGGAAGGATGGTGCGCGGTCGAAGAAGCGCCAGGTCTTTGGGGTCTATACTTTGACCTCGGTGACGACGGCCTAAAGTCAAGAGTCGCTCCTGGTACTAGGGTGTTGGAGATTGAATTGAGTAGAAAAGAGAAGAGGTTTCAAAAAGAGGCGGACATTCGACAACAGGATCAGACGACGAAAAGGGCCGTCGATGCGAAAGAGGATGCACCAGTCGATCAGCCGCTGGCCGCAGAGGCACTGGTATCGAAGCCGGGGGTGGTCGACGAGGAAGGAAGTCAAGGCAGTGATAAGCAGGAGTCGTATAGACCGATGAAAATACCGCAGTCTATCTTTGAGGATCCACCTCCTATGGTAGAGTCATTGGTGTTCAGACCTGTTACGCCGCCACCAGCATATTCTCCTACTGTAGAGGAAGATCCGAGAACATTGGACTCGACATCAAAACCAAACGTAGGACCTGCTGAAATATCTGGCATGGGCCAGATCAAGAGCTCACCAGGCATTGGAGGTTCTCTGCCTTCTGTCACAACAGAACCTTTGCCTACCGAAGCGCAGTCAACGAGCGGTGAAGAGAGTGAAGTTATTTTGAAGCAGGAGGATGTTGCACGGACTCAACCAGCCTCAAGTCTTATCGATGACAAGAAAAGTACACCAGAGAAGGCAGACTCCCCACCCGCTGAGCAGCAATCCCCATCTGTGAGCGAGAAGCGAATTACACCCAAGCTGAACAGAAGCAGCGGCTCACGAGCCATAGCCCAGGCTCAGAAGTTCGAGGCTTTGGCAGCAGCTCAAAAGCCTGATTCCAATGTTCGAAGGCGATCAAACGAACGTGGATCTCGTGCTAATAGTACTACTTCTTCCGTGTACTCCAACGAAGGCGAGTCACTGAGCACGCCTGGGGCTAGCGTACAGCCTCAAGCCTCTCCAACACCGGCACCTTTAGCGCTGGCAATCTCGAAAGCAAATCAAGCGAAAGCACTGGCAGCACGGTCGCAACCGTCAGATCCTTCTATTCAACGGCCTATAACACCTCCACGCCAGCGAGCACCTTCTTTACGACAAGATCCGGCCATATCGGGAGCTCAAACTACGGCAAGCTCAAAGCCGATCATATCTCTACCACGTCGACCAAATCCTTCCAGGTCAAGTCCCAGTCCAAGTGCGACCTCACAAAGATCGACTTCCCGACAAGCAACACAAACGTCTAGCCAAAATCGCCAGCAGAGGGAACGCTCTATCTCCGGGCTATCATCATCCTCATCGAGAGTCGATAATTCTCGCTCGTCGCCCAGGTCTTCATCCATAACATCTGGACGGCAGTCCCTTGCTCGTACTATGACGAGTGGAAAGGGCAACCAGGGCATGAGCAACAGGATCGGTGGTAGTCAGGGTAGGGTGAATGGAACGTCCAGACAGCCTGCTACTGTTGCTAGAGGGAATGGAAGAGAGAGGTCGGCGACTAACAGTGAGAGGAAGACTACGTCAGCATTGTTCAGGGAGATTGATGATCTTGTTAGTTTGGAGAGTCAAGATGGGCAGGCGAAGAGATGAATTGATGTGAGGCCAATATTCCGGTCTTAAAATAACAAATAGACCTAAAAGATTCTTTCTAAATGCAATACATTCAAAGACAAACAGAAATCCGATAGGTGAGTTGAGATGTTCACGTTGATGCAAAGGGGGGCTAAGCGTCATTCCTGTCTTTCGTTGGCCCGCTTCCTCCAACATTACAGAACAACCTTCTCTTTCCCACAATATTAGCACCCATGCACAAAATCTTTGAATCTGTCATTTACTAATTTGTACGCTGCACGTTCCTGTATGCGAAAGATCTGCCGGCTAATCCGCCCGCTGCATCCCTGACCAGCAGATGTGAAACTCGACCCACCATCGACCGACTTGCTCCTCGCAAGTGCTTCAAGTTTCCGACACGTTTTGGCAATATGTCGCAACCGATAGTAATCACGCGAGAACATAGTGGCATGTATCATGTATTGTTTGAAAGAAGATATGGTAATGCTGTGATGATGGTAGTAATGTAGTTGGCCGTTGAAAGCTGGGGTAACTACCTGAGCGTAATGAGTACTGCGTACGACCGAGTGTGTTCTTGTTGAAATCTTGAGCCCATCGAGTTAATACTTTCTCGCGGCATATAGCCGTTCTTTTCTTATTTGTCAGCTGATACAATCGGTGGATGCTTGCCTAGCGAACGTATCCCGAATACACCTTCTCAGTCATACGTAGGTACTAAGAATCTACAATGGATGCATCTACACGACTCTACAAACGCCTGGGCGAGATACCAGAAGATCCAAACGACCCCGATAGCCTAGACGACCTCATAGTGTGCGCATTTGGTGCTTTTGAACGGTACTACGTTTGTTGGAAAACTAAGGGTGGAGAGTTTAAGCAAGGTGCGCATACCCAATGTAGCATGAGAACAAAATGGGAACTGACAATTACAAGATGGCTACGATCTTCCTCTTGCACTCAGAGACTGGCTCTATCCCACGGACGGCACGACACGAGATTTTGCGTCACTCCAAGTCGTTTTTGGACGAGGGGAGGAATATTTCGCGTCTGATAAAAACGGGAAGTTGGAGTACAAGGAGCCAGAAGTGAAAAAGCCGGCACCGGTGGAGGACGAAGAGAAGCTTGATAGACAAGCACTGAGAAGATCGAGAACAGTGTCATTCTTGCGGCCCTTGTCGGAGACAAGTGTACGGTCTGACGGCGGAACAAGCGACACGAACAGGAGTAAGCGATCGAGTTCGATAAGCTCGCAACGAGCCAGTCGACCACCCAGCCTAAGTTATACGAACTCACGAACGAACTCGGAAATATCACTGCTAGGAGAGACGATCGTTGAGGGCCAGACAAGCCAACTGACACGACCTTCATATATATCACAGTGGACAGCTCTTGGGTCGAGTGTAGGCGAGTTGAAGCAAGTGGCATCTCCATCAACGTCAGAGCATGGGATATATGGCGTGCCAGTCGTCGAACCAGAGCGCGACAAGGTACCAACAAAAACAGCATCCCCAGCATCAGTAACGAGTAAACCACCGTTGCCACCATCGCGGACTGATACAGCACCAAATGCTACAACAAGACATCAGAATTTCCAGGCGCAAAGAAACGTCACGTCAGACACTCCACCGTGCACATGCGGCTGCCACACCTCACCGTTACCATTGCCACCACAACAAACCAGACCTACCTACGTTACGATCGCAACACAAACATCACCTCTACCCTCGCCACTTCGCCCGGAAACCTCGAATACCTCCTACTGGCCCTCACAAGCGAACTTCACTGCTATACCTCAAGATGCAGCTTACTATGTTGACGAAGACTACGATACACCGCCAGTTGTCATGGGACGAATGTCGACCTACTTTAGTAAACCAGGGTATCAGCTAGGAGACAGTTTATTTAGTGGGTATCAGCCGATTAATTGGGCAAGTGGATATGAAGAGGTGGATGACTTTGGTGGGGAAGGTATGAGATAACGGACAGAGTGAGGTCTGAGTTATCGAATTGAATGTGGCAGTGTATGATATTCTGAAGCTTTCTTGCAGTTCAGCGTTGATGAGCAGTTGGCGTATACCCTCTTAACTAGTTTCTGTCAAGTATTATATATCTTATTTTTCACAGATGGGTAGAACCTATACTGGTGAACACGTGGGCCATTCCTGTGAGCTGTAGCACAAGGATTAGCTCTTGAGATGGTCGACCCACGAAGGCTACAGTGGAACCAAGCATGACTGGACAAGCATCTTACTCTTCGTCTTTCCACCATCAGGGAGCATCATAGCAGTGAAGTGTACTACGCTCCTTTTACACGAACCCCATCACATCTTACATCCGGATATAGACCTGTCGCGCAACGTTCAAAGGTGCCTCAGTCAACTTCAAATACCCATTATCAGAATCAGCTGCACATATCCTATGCACGCAAACAAGTATACTACACCGCTAGTGAAGCTATTTAGATCCATCGGTATCCAGCACTAAGCAAGGCGTATACCCCTTTGCAATATGCAGCTTACCCACACAACATCGACACCGCCATTCGTATCCTCGTTTATCAAGAATCCATGCTACACGCGGTAAACGCGCCGTCCATCCTGCCGTGTTACGAACAAGCCCACCATCAACAGTAACGATCTACTTGAAAGCTGCACGAACGGAGATTTTCCGCTGCGCAGGTGATTAGTACACCCGACCATGCATCCGCAACGTCGAACTAGTGTTCACGGTGCTTACCATTGATGATCTCCTGGTCTAAAGTCGGAAATGAAGTTTCCTGACACCAAACTTCACATCTCCGGTGATTGCAGAACCGCGATGACGTAGGTCGCACTAGCATTACCTAACCTACAACCACGCAAAATGCAACCACGGCAGCTGCCCGGGCATTTGCATCTACCAGTAGGATTGAGGATTCAGATAGGGCTACAAAAATTGATGCAAAACCCACAAACTCCACATCACATGCGCACCCCATTCGCAACGAACACGCAACTGAATCATACAAAAGGTTGGCGATCGTGGAATCCAAGTCGTTGTGTTACCACATGGGGGAAAGTCGGTGGGACCTCGTTGACTTTCGCCTCGGTTCAGACAACACAACACGAGACTTGACATCATTTCGAACCGCTGCCAGTTCAGGGCCTTTTTCAGGGTCCCTCCGACCCTCCGAAAGGTCCGAGATGCGACCAGCCACTGAGGACAAAGCCGACGGCCGATGCCGAGTTAGCAGGTTCAGGGATCGTCGATCTTTGCGTCTGGCAGAGTCCCTGACACTTTGTCAAGTTCGACAGACGACAACTTTGGCGACTTAAGTTTTTTTAGATGGCTTCTGATAACCAGTTCGTTTTTGGATATGCCTTAACGAATGGACTAGTTATCTTTCACTAGCGCGAATACGCGTTCACCCCCGCAAGCATGCAAACGCCAAACCACGGGAAAAGTATCCATCATCCAAGCGATGCAATGCACAGCGTCTAGACATTCCATACAATCTTCACATATTGCTATGCTTTACTCTCAAGTAGGAAGTCGCTAGGCGGGCGCGCCCGCGGCTACGAATCCATGTATTGCATGCGTGATTTTCGCCATTGGAACGCTTCATTGAGAAGCGAAAGAGGGTACGGTTGCAGGTTGATGGTCGGGTCAAATGAAGGGGATGTTTATAAGTTGACAAGCTGTCCATCTCTATAAACACCATCGTCTTCTGTTTGTTCATGTTTCGTTGGGATGATACCCGGAAATGCCTAGCTTTATCGTGAGATGTTGAGAGGAAGTATGCTTCCGGAGATTACGAAAACATGTGAGCACACTCAGCGCAGGCTTCTGGTTCGCCGAATCGAAGCTGCACTTCGACGCTTCCACCATGGCGGTTCGTAAAGCGTAAAGGAGGCTGTGCACTGGGCATGCACAACAACATCGCTCTTTGTTTGTGCTGTGCAGCGGGCGTCGGATCGCAAACGCATCAGTCGTGGGGTGACATGCTCGTGGTCATGCCGCTCTCTCAGCATTCCTGGCGGCTTGCCCAGCTTCAGGCTGCTTGCCGCGCTCAGCGAACAGTCCTGTCCGCAAGTAGCTACCTCTGGTGAGGTTGCGATGGCCAGTGTTTAGCCTTGATAGCCTGACTCCAGGCCGCGGCACATGTCCTTTGTGCATAGCATCGCGAATGATCACATTCAACAATGGCAGCCGCCAGGAGCGCTGTTGCGCCGTCTAGCGTACACATCTTGTACCCGTGAGACGACGTAGTTGTGTTACATCTGTGGCTGATCATCCACACACATCATCCTCGTCCACCTTTGATGCAGGACCTCGTAGCCGGGTCCGACGTGGGATCTCTCCAGAGCATGCGCGTCCAAAAGGTTAATCACGGTCTTGCTAGAGATAGCCCCCCATCCTTGCCGACCGATCAATGGAAACTTGGAAAGTCAGCGAAAATCTCTGCTGGTTGGCGCTCCACGCTTCGCATGCAGGGCGTGGGCGAGGGCGGGAACCCTGAAAACTCGTTGGATTGGCGGAGATGCGGATTGGTGGAGGGACTACAGCGAACCTTATGGCCGTGCGGCACGTCCTGCGGTTGAAGGACGTCACCCGGCAACGCTCGAGGCGTCCCAGAGGACGCCTCAATCGACGACGAGGAGCAGATGGTGACGATGAAGACACAAGTTTGTTTTTACTTTGTTCTTATTTCATTGTAGGGCAGACGTCACAACGCCGAAGCCCCGTCTATACTTTTGCGAAATCCCCGCGGGCAAATCGCCCAATCATTGAAATCACCACCCAAATCCATCCCATTGTATATACGGATGCTTACTTGCTCGACCATCAAATGCAACAAACAGTGATGACGCGAGCTATGTAAAAACGGCCTCAAACGCGCATAAAGCGAATGGTTCGGGCCAGGTCATGGAATATACACAGGCGACCGAAGGTCAAAAAGGGTAGTCGTGAAGACTAAAAGAAGGTAGGAATAGAGATCGCCTAGGCGTTGGTATCATCGCGCACCAGCAGCGTCATCAGTCATGGCGTCATCAAAAGCAACAGCAGCTGCAAGAGCTTGCTGTTCCTTCGCAGGCGTCTAAAACCAACCGTTGTTGGCATAAGAAGATAGATCAAAATTGTTCATCGCGTTGAAAGCACCATTGGTCTGATCTAAAGGCCATGGGTCCATGGGAACAACATCTTGGAAATTGCTAGGCATCGAGATTGCGGCTGTGTCGGCAAAGTCAGATGAGGCGGTACTCGTCATAGTTGCTGGCGCAGCAGTAATGCTCTTGGCATAGATAGGATCGAAGCCGATCATACTGGACATGGGCGCTGCAGTGGTCATTGGCAACCCGTTCATAGGTTCACTCGGGACGGCAGTGCTAAACCGATACGCAGGAGTATCTTCCCAGAAAAGCGACTCGCTGGCAGCCGACTGAGGAGCCTTGTTGAAGTCCAGATCACCAAAGAGGGCAGGCTCTCCGATTTCTGAGTGCGCAGACGAAGCTACAGTAAGACCAGGGCCGCTCTGTTTTGATTCGCCGCTGTGTGAAATCGGCTGAGCCAACTCATCGTTGAATTTGCTCGGGTCCAGTGGGAGATCAGTAGCAGACCAGACGTGGTCAAACCCAGCGGATGCTGTTAGCCAGTCGTTATCCATGTTTGGCAGACAATCTTGCGACGGCGAAGTGGACAAGCTACCCAGACCGAATGTGCTGTTCACTGGTGTCACGGTATCGGCGATCCAAGGCCACTGCTGGGTTGAAAACGTGTCGCTTACGTTGCTGTTGGGAGACTCGCCCTCCTGTCCAAAGACTCCGGGTTGACTACTGAACATGTCGTTGAAAGCGAAAGTGTCAAGGCTACCACCAACGTTGGGAGTCGGAGGCTTGTTGGAACATCGCTGAGTAGATCCAAACATGGTGTGGAAGTCGTTGTTCGATAACGAAAGCGTGTCCATGGAGCGTGTAGTGGTCGGCTCTGGCTTGCTGCGAGCAGTCTTGTCTTGCGAGAGAGCAGAGAAGGCGGCATGGCCATGTAACGTATGCGGACGAGGGATCTTGTACGGCAGACCGGAGACGTGGGCCGAGTTGTTGTTGCGATGACAAGGCTTGTGGTGGCCGTTTGCGAAGACGGTCAAGTGGCTTTCCGAATGCGTCGCAGTCAACTTGGGCTTCGCGCGAGCATCGTGGAGTGTCTGCCGGGTGGTGTCGACCTTGAGATCAACGTCTTCGTTCTTGGTACCACATAAGCACTTTGCGCCTGAATGGCACTGGCAGCGGTTGTCGTGAGCTAGAGTAACGTCAGAATTGTCAGGGACGGCCAAGCCAGCTATGAGCTCACTCTTCGCGTCGCCTTTGTCCTTGTGCAAGTCCTTGTCCTTCTTGTCGCCACAATCGCACTTGGCGTGGTGGGACTTGGACTTGCGCGCACCGCGACAGTGTTCGCATTGCTTGACGGGACGACCTTTGGGGTTGATGTGGTGCAGATCGCGATCTTCAGGACAATATTAGCACTGGAACGTGGTCAAGTGTCGCACTGTGCGAGCGACATACCAGTGTGGTTGCAACCGCTCACTCGATGGCCCTTGATGCAGGACGAGCAAGCCCATTTCTCGCCATCGATAACAGGCATACCGGGGCGATAACGGCCGAGTGCGGTCGTCGCAGCTGGCTACGAGCAGCTGAGTGGGAGCGTTCCAGGGAGCCAACGGGCTAGAGAGGATGAAACAGGACGGAAATAAAGCCACACGCGAGGTGTGAGCGAATGGATAAAGATACAGGGAAGAATAGTAGGGTTGAGAATATGCTAGTTCAAACGCCAGAGGGTATCTTGGTCAATGGTATGCTGGATTGGGACCGTGAACGCCGTGGAGGAAACCGAGGACGACAGGATGGAGTGGAGAGTTTGGTGAGGATCAAAGGGGAACCGAGCGCAAGAGGCGCTGGCCGAAAGCGTTAGACGGAGCTCCTTGGGTACGACCAGACCAGTATACTACGTGGTGTTGTGCGGGTGAGGTAGTGATGAGAGGGAAGAGAGCGAGCGGGAGGAACAGGTTAAGAGGAAGGCACACGGCGCTGCGGTGCGTGTAATTGGCTGTGGAGCTTAGCGTCATCGGCAAGTGCGCTCAGACCTCGACGCTCGAATCTGCAAGCGCGATCAGCCATCATGACGGCGGGCAATGCTGTTCCCATCGGGTTAGCGCTCGAATCCCACACTTGCATGCAAGCCAGCAGCACCCTCTCACCGCATAAATCCTACCCTCCGCAAGCCCGCTGCCGTCCTGAGCATGATGACCCGCAGGCTTTTTAGACGGTCCACACCGCGACGACGCGAGGCCTACGACGGACGCTGCTCCTCTCCTCTTTGCTGTGCTGGCCTCGCCAGCCCGCCTCTAATAATGCGGGACTCCACGCACGGCATGTTTCAATTGCGGCCGCGATTCGCTTGTCGAGTCAGCGTGTTTCTCTTGCCGCGACGGCCGTAACTCAAAGCATCCGTCGCCCGTTGCCAAGTGGAGATCATCTGTATTGTCTGCGTCGATAGCGTCCAGCACATATAGAACCGGAAGCAAGCCTATCCATTACTTTCAGGTACATTGTCCGCTTGTATATTTCGCCTCAAAAGGCCCGGTCGCAGAGAGCGCTAGGGTGTGTGTTGAACACCAAGCAATGTAACTGTGGGAGGACCGCAAAGTAAATATTAGATCCAACACAGTGTCCAGACCTTAGAACCGCTGGGCATAGGGTTGGCATAATGTTTTTGAAACGGAACCCCATAGTCTTCTCCGTGGGGTATGGTACTTTGTCGGTGTATCGCACTGCTCTTGGTGATCTCGCCCTCGACCCGATGCTGCAGCCAGCCGTCGCCGAAAGTATTCATAGCACGTGTCGTAGGACTCTAGGGCCGCTGATCTGCGAAAGCCTCCTCAGGGGAGTAATCACCGGGTCTGACATGAGGTTATTTCGGTGTCAGCATTATACACTGAAAAGGATACATTAGCCTGATCATGGACGTTTTGGTAAAAAAGCTGTGGTGCAGACGTCCAGCGCATGAATGCAGTGATTCTAGAAGTTTGCACCCCTCAACAGTTTTTGTCAAAATACCGTCTTTTACCAATATGCACATGTTCACTAGAAACTTCCTGGACAGGAGTTAATCGTAGTGTGCAGGTGTTTGAAGTCGGCACTGAGCATATGCACGTGGGAACCAGCGCAAGGTAGATGAACGTGATCGATGCGGTGCAGCAACACTGCAAGAAGATTACAGAAATCTAATTAACCCAGCAGTTCACTAACAAGTGCAATGACAGCAGCCGTCAGTTGCAGAATGTGGGCACTTCTGATGATGGCTGTGCATGGTGCTCCCACTGGCCGTCCCGGAAGCGCGTACGGTGGAAGAGATAATCCGAACAGCGACCACGTCGTCACCGGCCAGTCAGTAGCTTCCGATCAACGCTGCAAGTAGTAGACATTTCGGTGTCTCAGTAAACCTACAACCACCATAATGTTGTTGTCGCATTCACCCAAGTCCACCATGATCTGCTCTCTCTTGCCATGGTCCACGCTAGCGCAAAAATCGCAAAGCTCGCACAACCCTCTTCGTCGGCCTCTTACACAACACGCTCCTCGCGCTTTACAACATCGAACCTCTCGCGCGATCGCGCAACAACATTGACCCGGCGCTCTGGATAACTTCTAATCGACTTCTTTCTTGTTGTCTTGGAAACGACGCGCTGAGAAATGGCTGGCTACGCGGATCCCGACACGCAAATGGGCGGAGGACCAGGTCAATACGCAAATCAGAATGGCACACCACCGGCGCAGCAACACCAGTTGACGGACCCCGAACTGCGCCTACAAGAGAATCTACAGCAGCTGCGTGAGGGTGGAGACATGATGCATCCAGCCGGTCCGCAGCAACCGCAGTACCAACAGATGGCTCATATGGGACCCGCCATGGGCGCGCATCAGCACTTCGCAGGACCGACACGCCCAACGCATTCTCCGCAACAAATGGCGCAACATGTCATGAGCATGGAGGGACACCACGATCCGTACGATCCCAACGACCCGAATCGCAAACGATCCAAGGTGTCGCGTGCCTGCGACGAATGCCGAAGGAAGAAGGTATGCGATGCCTCTTCTTCCCATACAAACATCGCTTACGGTGTGTAGATTCGATGCGACGCAACCAGTGAGAACGGCCCGGAAGCTTGCTCTAGTTGTAAAAGAACCGGCGCGCGCTGTCAGTTCAGCCGTCAACCCATGAAGCGCGGACCTAGCAAAGGGTATGTCATCTTGTTCTCTCAACTTGGTGCGCATGCTCACACTGTTCAGTTACATCAAGGAGCTAGCCGACCGACTCAATTCGCTCGAAAGCCAGATACATCATCCTCCTGCCCAGTCACACAACTTCGATTTTGGGACCCTGGGTGACCAGTCGTTCCCCGACACCCAGAGCCCCCCGCAATTCAAGCGCCAGCGAACTCACTCGATGACGGATGGATTCCACGACGCTTTCAGCCGACCCAACTGGACTGTTCAGGACCGCGGGAATAGCGGATCTGTAGACGCACATGGTCTGCCTGTGCTACCGGACCAAGAATCGTCACTGAACGGCAATCGTCGCACTTCGTTTGGAGACATGAGTCTAGGCGGCAGCTTGATTACTGGCTCCCACGAAGAGATTCTCAAAGCGTACGCATACCTGCACCTTTAACTTTTTACCTGGCACTAAACCTTGATTCAGATACTACAACATCATTCACCCCACACTACCTGTCTTACCACACCACGAATCACAATTAAACCGCCTTACAAACTGTCCGTCGAAGCTACGGGAGGCATTTTTCTTGTCACTAGAAGGCTGCATCCGATCTATTGCCTCGAAGGCTCTGCCGCCTATCGAGATCAGCCTTAACCAGCTGCTACAACAATGCTTTACTTCTGTCGATGCGGCCAACTATTGCCTCCACGACACAGACAGCTCAAGACAGTTTTACAATCATCTGGTATACTGCCAGTCAATGATTCTGCTTGCTGCAGCGTCTGACAGACCGAGCCCAGGCGTCATAGGCAGTACAACAGGACTACTGGGCCGCATCTCAGCCTGTATTGCTGACGCAGCGATCAACGACTCGAGGACATTGGCTGCGATGAAAGAGCAAGACCTTGAAGTATACCAGACAGCACGTCGCGTGTATTGGACTGCATTGATTCTAGATCGCTTCCACGGCTCTAGTCGATCAAAGGACATGATGATTCGAAGGTATTCCGGAACTCTTTCGCGCGGTGACTACACAGCTCTGGGCGAAGTCGGCTACTACCTTGCCCGTAAGTACAAGCTTCTGTGTTTCAGAAGCACTTGACTAACACTTGTCAGGTACTGCCTTAATTGTCGGTCGAATAGCCTACGTGAATCGCGCGGGAAGTGTTCCAAATGTCGAATCATCGGCTCCTTTTGCCTTTTCAGCACTCAAACCTGGGACCGTGGAATCAGAATATCTCAACGGGGCACTAGACGAAGTCAAACAGTCTATCGATCTGACTACTTTGACGCGCAACTCCCCTCCTCACTTGGCGCATCAGTATCTCAGAGTGTTCATCGCGCGACTGTCATTGCAAAACATACCTTCTGCGGAGGTTTTTGAGGCCACCAAGGAACTGCTCAGTAACTTGACAAGCGGCGCGATAACTCCTTTGCACCACATTTTCGCCGCTCTAGTGGCTACGTCTCTTACCGAATTGGCCGACCGAGCCGAGATGCAAGCTGAGGCGAACGCAAGCATCAAGGAGATGAACGACGCGCTGTCGAACGGTCAGATCATACATCGCAGCTCCGATGGTCTAGGCTGGGAAACAGCGATTGGGGAATTGCTCCAGAAGAAGAAGTCTTCTACTCCCCCTTACACTGGTCCGGAGCAAGCCAGTCCTGCACTAGAACCCAACATGGCCGGACTGCAACACCTTGCTGCAGCTGCGGTCGGAGAACGTGAAGGAACTGGCGATAACCGTCCTGGTAGCTCTTCTCAGCAGAAAGTCGACAATGACCTCTCAGCTGCCATGGCTGCTGCTAATGAGGCAGCCAAGGCGCAAGCCCAGGCGACTGCTGCTGCTGCTCAAGATCTGTTCCACTAAGCAAAACAAAACTATCTTCTTCCTGTAATTGATATACCCCCTTTTGTTGTAGCTGGTAGATAGTCTGACGAGACTTACATCACATTATAATCTGTTACGTCCTCCAATCGTCACATTGTCTCTAAAGAAACTTCTGTTACTGAAACAAAGCCTCGTTACTGAAGAGGTTCTCAAAAGGTATACGTGGTTATCTACATCACGATTCTAATATGACCAACAGGGCAAACCTTTGGGGTCTTGGTGTTGACAAACGCAACCCCCTGCTCCCTACATCTACGCCGATTGCGACCTCGATCTCATGCAGCACTGTCTCATTCGTTGACCATTACAACCCCCATTCTCCGCCTTCTATTGGCATATAACGCTTCATCTTCTTGCTTCAGTCGGTCAAGCACGGTCTCCATCTCCGGTAGCAGGATCTTGTCCACGAAAGATTGGAGACCGCCTTCGTGCGTGTCATACCGAGCATCGAGAAGAGGAACAGTTTCTTCTAAGACGGTCGTGAGATGAGCGTCTTCTTCCTGGATTCGTAGTAAATCGTCTGGAGGATATCGCGGTAGAGGTTGATGCGAGAAGTCGATTGCGTCAGCTCTCAGAATTTTCTTAAGATTGCAGCAAGTATGGCGTATTTCCAACCAGGAAAAGATACAGAGCCGGATGAACTCGGTGACGATCCATCTGTTTGCCACACCCTCGGCCGCTCTTGCTACACACTGTACAATCTTTGTAAATTCTTGGTGAGCAGTTTGTCTGCGGTGGCGCTCCCGCCGACTCTCCGAACGTTGGGATATCGTGACGCGTCCTGGTTTCATGGAGGTCAAGACGTTTACAACACCACCGAGCCAAACATCTGCATGCTTACAGAAAGATGTGATGCTATTACATCCATGCGTACTACAGCTGCATTCACAGTCGTCTGTGAGTGCATGTTGAAACAGATCTGCGACTCTGTTTAAAATGGGTTCTGACATCGCTTGGCCTGTCGTTGGGATCAAGTGGGTAGCTGCTTTTGCGCTGATACAATGCAATGTAGTAACCCTCGATCTCGGCCAGCAATCGGCCAGGTCTGCTCCTTTGGAGAGAAACCAGTCTATCATTTCGAAGAACTTGGACACCGAATTAGTCCGGCTAGGGCGATTAGGATAGTACATCATCGCGATGTGCAACGGTGTGGGGGAGTCGTTTCGGCGGCATTCGATATCCACTTTTGCGATGTCTCTAAACCCGGCATCGTACAGAAAGTTCAGAGTTAGTAGTGGGTCTTTATTCCCTAAGAACATGTCGTTGTAGATCATCTTGACGTTGTAAATGTTTCCAAAGGTCGGCCGAAAAGAAGGTAGTAGCTCAAAGCCATGTTCATCAAGTGCACGTAGTGCACAAGTGGTATGGGTGTCTAGTAGACCTTTTGACCTAATCGCACATTCACACTCGATACCATACAACTCCAGGGTTTCTTGGATCCAGGATCTCTGCTCGACCAGATTCGTAAGAAGGATCTCTGCTATGTTTGCTTCTGACGTTTTCAAAGCCCATACCAAGGCACTTTGTAGGTTTCCGATATCTGTGAGACAATCTTTCGTAGCATGTTCGCGCTTTCCAAGCCAGAACTTTACCATCTCTTGATTTCGAGAATAGAAGGCTCTGAAGAGAAGGCACCGATGCCACGAGTCAGACGACTCGCTCTCCCAACCCTCAGGTACTTGTGCTGCATACTTGAGGCCTGTGTCAAAAAGAATCTGGCAGCCGCGTACCCAACCCATCTGAGTTGCCAGTTTGTAGAGTTCAGACCCTTCGTCCTGCTTCAACACCTCTTCAGGGTGGCGTCTTTGTATAAGTTTACTAAACTCCGCTTCTGATCTCAACAATGCTGCTACAGTTGCATCACTGCAACCAATGAAGGAGTCCGGAAACTCATTTAATGGAAGTTGGTTCCAAGGAATTAGGTAATCAATAGGATAGCTTTCTGGTGATATTTTCAGGTCATGCTGCAAGAGATCGGTGACAAATGACACCCATAGATGGTCGAAGCTGCCTACCCGCAAAACAAAGTCTAAGCATGTTCTAACGACACTGAATTAGACGTTATCGATTGATTCCATGTGCGTAACTTACTTGCCACCATCATTGGTATCCGATGCATCCGCATAAGACATGTAGCGTAGTAAGTGATGGGCGATCGATCGATATTCATCAATGTCGTACAGGAGCATATCCAAACGAAATCGTACAGTCAATTCGGCGCAAAAATGCTCTTAATCCTCAGTACATTTGCAAATACTGAAATAAACTAGATCAGAACTTACGTGTAGAAGCGTTGACCCATCTATCAAGCGGTCGTGTGGTGAGGCCTCACGTGTTTGGAACAGTTTTGTCAGCTCTGCCGAGCTATCCATGGGGGGAGGGTCATGACTGGGATTGAACATCCGATCGATTAGCTCGAACGCTGGGGAATTCCTAGAGACGATTCGACGTGCCGACAAACTTGGATTAACCGAAAACGTGCTGCTTGCAATCGACAACGTCATGAAAATTCGAAGCTTCAGCCCAAGGATAAGATAGCACAGTATCATTCCGAAGCTGAAGTTCACGTCGTGAGTCCCAGGTATCCAGAACGGGCAGCTGGAATCATGAAAATGCACTTCATTCAGCGACACAACAAACGGTGTTCGTACGAACTGTTTCTCCTGACGACGTTCACGGCATGAACATAAATTAAGAGGATTTAGCTTCTTTTTCAATCGCAGACGGTCCGTTCGTATTCTTCGCTCGAGATTTCGAAAATTCGTGACATCTTCTTCTAGATCAACTGCAGACACTGTCAATAGCGAGTTAGGAGGATCATGATGTCTCCCGGGTTTGGATCCAACTTGAGAGCGAGAGCCGAATGAGGTGTTCTGAGTAGAAGAACGATCATAGTCCTGGAGGAGGGATTGGAATGATCCCTGGTGTCTTCGGTACCCAGAGATCTCTACGCCTGCATGCTGGTCTATGGTCTGCTCAGCCAGAATATTGGCGTGTCGCTGCTGGTCAAGGATCATCTGAATTCCAGTACTGGTATTGAGGGAGAGCCGATCAAGCTGTGCTTGTAAAGTCGTGAAATATCGTTGCTGCTGATCGCTAGGAAGGGTTAGCTCAGATATTGTTACGACGTATGCGGGGAGGTTCATTACGTTTGCGACGCGAGCAGAGCGGTCTGCAGGCTCTGTTGGATGCTTGCCAGAACATCTTTCCAGTATCTGATATCGCTCTCTTTGAAGGGATATGTCAGTCGTTTGATGACGTTCCTAGAACGTGTCCAGAACCTGACGGAGCCTTTGACTGGCGGGACGTCTCCAAGTCTCGATCTGATCACCTCAATAGCCCGTGCGCATTCTTGGATGCTGTTCCTAGTCAATGTGGTGGATGAAGTAGGGTCCAGTCTTCTGATGATAGTCTCCAGATTCTCAAGGAGGTTCACCAGTGTGTCCAGTTCGCCCGTGATTTGTTCAGCCTTCGTTCTCGCATCTTTGACACTGTTGGTGTACGTGTTCAGTTTATCAAACAGCTGTATGGAGAGAGAAATGACACCAAAGATGGTGCCGGCCACTTCGGCCATGAGGGGCGTACGCAAAGTCAGAAGGTGGGATGAAGCGACAACCAGGAAACTGACAAGATAGTTGTTTCTGCCTGAAGGCGCAGCACAACTATGCGCTCTACCGCAGATGGCCACTCATTGGCGACGATAGTGCGGGGATCGGCTCAGCCTTGGACATTCTCAGCCTTGTGTGCTTTCAGCCTGACTTCAGCTACGTGTCCCCTGTAGGACTATAGACCAAACCAACACGATCGACAGGAAGGCTTTCTTCCAAGCTGAGTAAAAATACATAATATTGTTGCGTGAAACTGTAAAGGTAGGACTGTCTAGCGGATTCCTTCAGTGCGAATGCAAGAGTGACGTCATTCTCTTACACCAATCTCAATTGTGGTGGATAGATAAGTTTCAACGGGACTCGACAATCTACACCTTCCTTCGGTCCAAAGCCAATCTCATGGTCCTCTTACCATTTCACCAAGATGAAAACGTGTTGTTAATTATGTTCCAAGAAGAATGGAGCTTATATGGATACAGATAACGGGCGTAATAACCCTACTCAAGCGACCGCAATACGATTGGACCGAGAAGTGTTCAGGAAAACACACATGTCGGGGCGCACCAATAATTTGAGACGGCTATGACATACTTGCAGTAGTTAGATGCCTGAATCTACAAGTCGAAGATACCTTGGTGAGAAGTAAGGATCCACTACCAGTTATTGGTTCAAAGAACTTGTAAGTACAATCCTACAGAATGGTACACCACAAAGCACCCCCAATCTACCCTGCCCTATCACCTGAAACTACCGATCCTTTGTGCTCGATTCGTTTTCCAGCCAGAGCAAGCCATCTTTTATTAATGAAGAGGAAGAGGAGGAGGAATAAGCCGATGCTCATAAGGAAGACCAACCAATAGAGCAAAACACCCGATGAACGAATTCGCCTTTGCTCTTTCGACGTCGATTTCGAAGCCGTGTCCCTGCCCAATGAGTTCTGGGCCGTCGATGTTTGGTGCGTTGGGTAAGCTTCCAATGAGCGATCCGGCGGAGTGACCTCTGTGTTTAATCCAGACTCGATATCGTTGCTTCCACATGTACGGTATACCGAATGAAGGGAAGCGTGGACGAGGCTAGGAGTAACGGGAAGATATTCGATGTGTGTGGAAAGTGGGTTCGGTCTGTTCTGAACACGTGGTGCAGAAGTAGTGTAGGGAGGCAGATCGGAAGCGGTATAAGGAGGCGGACTTGGAGTGGTGTATGTCGATGGATTGGAAATGGTGTTGGAAGTTGAATCGAGAGTGCTGTAAGATGGCGGGGGATGGTTCGGCTCGTTCATGTTGTTGGTGGACATGGCTGGATTGTAGTTGTATTATGCTTGTGAAGACGCACTTAATTTTTTGTAAGATGTAAGATGAGGAAGATAAAATTGAAAAAGACGATATTTTAAAGAGTCGGATTTCCGTATTGTGGGTTTGCCATACGCTGGTATAGTGTACCGTGGTTGTAATAATCCACCCAGGCATCGCTTGTGGCTGCATATGATAGAGAAGAGGGTCTGTGTCTGACCTACTGGAGTTGATGGATATAATTGTGATAGCATTGTATTGAGAGCTTTACGCCGACGCGCAGTGGCCGCCATCCACTCTCAGGTCGGCACCGGTCATGAACCGACTGCCTTCCGCTAATAAGAACACCGCTGGGGCTTTGAAGTCATCTGGTACGCCAAGTTTTCCAAGTAAAGCGCCGGCCATCCATGTCTTCTCTACATCTGGATCCGCTGCGAGGAGTTCGTCGGTCATCGCAGTCCGAATGTACTGCGTATCCAATTAGTAAAATTCCCATATAATGGGATGCGAAAAACCTTACACCTGGCGAAAGCGTGTTCACCCGAATGCCGTATTGACCCCATTCTTGCGCTAGCGAGCGACACATTTGATGCACAGCTGATTTGCTGGCGTTGTAGGCTGTGCAGGTAAGACCCTGAGATTATGGTTAGATCCACTAACACATCCAACTGATGGAGAAGTCCTTACCCTGTTCGCAACCTGACCCGACATACTAGCGATGAGCACAATTGAGCCACCAGTACCCTTGTCTTTCAATATCCTCGCTGCCCTCTTGACCGATATGAACGCGCCTACCACATTCACGCGAAGCATACGCTCAAAGTCCGAGGCTTCATAATCCAGCGCTGGTACCCTTTGTTGGATACCCGCGCATGCGACCATACCATTGAGTGGTGCACCTCGCTCGTCTCCCTCTTTTGATATCTCCTCCAGGACTTGGGTAACCTCCGCTTCGCTAGTGACGTCGCATCTACGGTATGTCGCTGAGGTACCGAGTTGGTTGGCAAGTTTCGTCAATGCCTGCCATTCTGTGTTGCTTGGTTCTGGGAGGATATCTAGACAAGCCGCATGTCCACCAGCTTCAACCACAGCGAAAGCAAGAGTTATTCCAAGTCCACGTCCACCTCCTGTGATAGCGACTGTCTTTCCTGCGAGGGAGAAGAGTGCTGGTGTCTGTGCCGTCGCTGACGTTGTAGAGGAAGTAAGTGCGCTGGCGACGCTGCTGATGGCTGATGGACTCATTTTACTGTTCGTAGAGTTGGTCTTTTTCAAAGATTCAGAATCGCTGCAGGAGAGGATTTGAATGCCGAGTACTAAGGAACCACAAGGCGACAGCAGCTTCTATGTATACCAGGACCCATGGGGTGCACATCGACGCGTATGTTCCCCACATCTGATAGTATAGTTCCATTTGTGGAACTGGTGGGTTGAGATTTCATCGTCACGGCTTCAACAAGGCGCATGCGTGGACGGATATTGGTGTTGATGGCTCAATTGCGGGACCGGACTTCGCTCAGGGTCCAGATGTTGCCCAGTTTGACCAAACAAGCAGCACTAACCGCTGCCAAGAAGGCCGAAGTCGTGAGCATGGTGGAGTATCTAGCTGCGCGTGTAGCTGCCGAATCAAGAAAAGTATTGTTTATAACTGTCGTCGCGCAAGTCTGAACACGAACAGATATCTGGAATAGATCTCAAAGTCCCTTCCGAGTGTGAATCGTGGATAGAACGAAGAATCCAAATCTACTTTCTCAATCATCAGCGGTGTGTGTATGATACACAACTTTGCTCCTACCCGCTCGAACCTGTAAGTCGAAATGTCGGGCTCCGTTCCTTTCTTACTTATTTCGTGCTGACATTTGACAGGCATGCGGCAACGGAATGCAGGGAAATAGGTAGAGTAGGAGCTGTGTGGATTGCTGTACGACTGTTATTCCGTCCTCTTCGTCCCCCGCATACTCACTCCCGAATACACCGCCTTGGTAACTTCCCAGGGTCCGTCTGTCACCGCATTGCATCGCATCCCACAGTGCATACCCTCGTACCCTGTACCCCAGCTTCCGAAACCACCGTGTTGGGTAAGTAATGAAAAACCATCGATTACAGTCAGGATCCGGTGCCCCTCGGTGCCCCTCGCGCCCTTGGCGTGTGCTACTCGATACACCCTCATTAGGCAAGTTTGGAGGAAACCATCGATTGTCTCTGCCCTTTCGTGCCCTTTTCCACCCAGCCGCATACTAGCAGATAGCGGTCTGACCAATGATCGCTTAATGTAGCTGCGCCCGCTGTGCCCCTTGGTGCCCCTTCATGCAAGCCACATGGAGCTTCAAGTTACTCTATACAGTAAGTTCCGCATCAACCGTCGATTCACGTGGAGACAGCGACAATGCATAATCGCTCGTTCAAGACAGTCCTGCAGGCCGTGTGTGTTGTCACGTTGTACCGCTGCAGGCGGTGTGCGCGCACGAGACCCATAGCGACGAGGCTGAGTGACGTCTTTCTTCCGCGTGCGCATGAGCTTATCGAGCATACGAGTCGTCTCCGGGACCCGCCGCGTTTGCATCCCACCTTTTCGCAACGACACCTCTCTTCCATCATGATACAGCAACCCTAGATCTCTTTTCTTTCCTCTGTTCGCCATTTCCATTGTATTTTAGCGGTTGCTTGTTTACCTGCGCAAACCTCATGTCTTTCCTACGGAACTCGATGCGGCGCTTTCGCCGCACGCAGATACATAATGTCGAGACGATTAAATCGCAGTCGTTGGCAGAGCTTTCCGGCTCGCTGGGCGACCTCGGAACTCTGTTACCGCTTATGACTGCGTTGGTCTTGACGAACTCGATATCCTTACCCTCGACATTGCTATTTACCGGAGCGGCAAATATCCTAACAGGCCTTGCGTTCGGGATACCCCTGCCTGTGCAGCCTATGAAAGCTATCGCAGCGGTAGCTATAGCTCGACAGTTTACCATGGAAGAGAACGCCGCCGCGGGTCTTGTTGTTGCGGCCTTAGTAGGCGTATTCAGTATCCTAGGCCTGATCAACTGGGCGAATCACGTTACACCAATCCCAGTGGTCAAAGGAATTCAAGTAGGAGCAGGTCTATCGCTATGCTTGAGCACCGGAACGAAGCTACTTTCCTCATTAGAGTGGACAGGTCCTTGGTGGGGCGATAACCTGTTTGTGGCGGTTGCAGCAGTTGTCCTCTTACTGTTCACTTTCCCGTATCCTAGGGTGCCATATGCTATGATCATCTTCATAGTGGGCATCTTACTATCATTTGCATCTCCGCAAAGCGAAGACGTTCATGTGCCACGTGCCGCGATTCCCATTCTCCATCCCTCTGGCAAGGATTTTCTGAAAGCAACAACAACCGCATCTCTGGGCCAACTACCTCTTACGCTTCTCAACTCCGTCATCGCAGCATCGGCGCTCGCGTCTGACCTCCTGCCATCACCACCGTACCCAGCTGCACCCACGGTCACCGAGCTAGGCATCTCCGTCGCCGCGATCAATCTCGTAGGTTGCTGGTTCGGAGCCATGCCCGCATGTCACGGCTCTGGAGGATTAGCGGGTCAGTTCAGGTTCGGCGCGCGCAGCGGTTCTAGTATCATCTTCCTAGGAATCATCAAATTTGTACTCGGTCTTATCGCCTTCTGGAAATCATCAGCCATTATTGG